CGGCGCCTCTCCTTATCTGGGTAACACTGCAGAGCGCGGCACAGGGAGAGCATATTAACACTTCCAATGGCATTTTATCTGATTCCTCCAACAAATCTGTCTTGACAGCATTACTTATGCAAAATAAGCTATAGCAACCACCTGTCTGCCAACAGCTGAGTGATAAAGGGGGGGTGCGTGTACACTGTGGGTGTCACCCAGCCACGAGAAGAGGGACCAAAGTGTGAGCCGAGCACAGGGCTGAGGAGACCGAGCTAAGTCAGATCTGCGTGTGCACAGAATCTAGAAGTGAGTCAAACCCGCAGAGGCGAGTCCCGGGGCTGGGGAGACTGGTGAAGGGCAGCTAGTGCGGGAGGAGAACAGGCCCGAGAGCCAAATGTGGCCGCACTGACCAGTGTCTCTGCAGGGTCATTGCACAGAACTGACGCTGGCTGGGCAGAACTAGAACGGGCAAACGCCTAGCTTATCGCCACATTTTACAGTGTGGCTTCTTGGGGTGCTGCAAACACATTACTTATAAGCAAATCTACTTACACGGGGCCTTCTTAAAACAAATACAGATGTCAAGCTCAGAGCCCTGATCCAGAGCTGAGAGTCTAGATTCGCTCTCTGGAACAGTGTGGGTGCAGCAGGGGTGGGATTCTCGTGGCCAGAGGACAGCCTGTGTCGTGTCTCTTAGTCTGTCCCCAGGCTGTGGCCACTGGGGCCCCTGGCGCGGTGCCTGATGGGCTTCATGCGACGGGTCCGGGCCCGAGACCTCCCGCCCTGCAGCCTCGGGGAAGGGCCGTGGCCACGGGGCGGCTGGGAGCACCTGCGCTCAGACGTCCCGGAGCCACAGGAGCCACAGGAGGCCAGCCGGGGATGGAGACAAGCCCGGCGACAGAGTCCTCTGCTTCTCGTACCAGATGCTCTGGGTCACCTTGGACGTTTAAACCTGCCAGCCCGATGGAATGCTTCTGCACACAGCCTGAACCAGCGCTCTGTCACCTCTCCGCCGACGGCCGCTGGCGACACACGTTTCCCAAGGGGTCCGCTCTGCCCAGTCACTGGGGCTTTTGTGTAGTGTCGGATCCTACGGGAACACGGGCTGCCATCGTGAGCTCGGGCCAGCGCCCCGCCGTGTGCTGAAGGCAGGTTTGTAGGCGACTGTAATGGCGGGTGGGCTGGTTCATGCTCGTCACTGGTTATGCTCAATGTTTTCTTGGTAATCACCTGTATTTCTTCGTTTTTTTTAAGAACAGGGGTACAGGCCAGCGGTGCAGGGGATGAGAGGATTCACCAGAGACAGAGTGGGGAGAGAACAGGCCGACGGACGACGTCCACTGCTGGGCGGGTCAGGAGCGGTCTGCCGCGCCCTGTGGTCACCTCGGGGGCAGGCGGGGATCGAACTGGTGCTGAAGCGGCTTTAGCTCCTCGGTGCTGCACTTCAAGCCGCTGCGCCACCAGGGAGGGCCCCCATATTTATTCTTTAGCAATATAAAGAATAAATTCTTTGGCCATTCTCTGGCTGGGAAGTCTGTTTTTCATCTATTTTCATGCCGAGTTATTTTTAGCATCATTAAAAATGTTTGTTTGGCTTATTCCCTTCTCCGCGGCCACTTCCACAGCAAACCCGCCGGCCGCCGGCCGCTGTCCCCTGTCCCCACCGCCCTCCTCACAGAAAGAGAAAATTTAACTGGGCCGAGAGCTACATCCCAGCCTCCCCCGCAGCCAGCTGTGGCCGCAGGGCCAGTCTGAGCACGGCCGCGGGCTGCTCGCAAGGCCCTGGGAGTCCCTTAAAGGGCACGAGGTGGCCGGCACCCTCCCGCCTCTCCCGCGTCTGTTAAATGGCCTCGTCTGCCATGCTCGTCCCGTGTGTGGCCTGAGCGTCCCTCCAGTCCTCACAGCCGGGTGGGACAGCCCGGCCGTCTCCCCCGGGCCCTGGGCGAGGGGCGCTGGGGACTCTGAAACCAGGAGCTGAGGCACTGCGGGGCCACCCCGAGTGGCCCCCCACTGCCTGACGAGCCACGGTCTCCAGTGAGCTGCCTTTAACAGCGGCTAGGCTGTGGGAAGTGAAAGTTAGCGCCCCGCAAAGCTCCTGCGGGTCCCTGCTCAGAGAAGGGAGCTCAGCACAGAGTGAACGGATGGCAGACATGTACCGTCCGTGCGCGGAAAACAGAGGGAAGCAGCCGGGCCGGGCAGAGCCAGTAGCGTGTGCCGGGGCCCGCTGGGCCTCCGCTCCGCCTGGCGCCTCCTCCTCGACGCTCCCCGCCGAGCCTCTGACGCCCCTCCTAAGTCTGGCCCTCGTCGCCCCGCCACACTGCGGGACCAGGCCCCACGGCGCCAGCACACCAGACGCCACCTGGCTCTGCCCGCCGCCGGAAGCGCCCAGCGCGGAGGGGGGCGTTTGGGCGGGCGCGCTCGGGCTGCTGCAGCGGGCGGGGGTCTGTTTCTCCCGGTCTGGAGCCGGGGGCCGGGCTCAGGTGAAGACCCCGTTCCTGGCTTCCGCCGCGGCTTTGGGGGGCCGCGCCTGGCCCCTCCGTCCCTACCTAAGGGCACCCAGCCCTCACAGGGCACCACCGCGGGCCCGCCAACCCAAGCAGCTCCCGGCCCCGGCGCGGGGGAGCATCCCGCGGGTCCCGGCTTCAGCATGTGGCTCGGGGTGAGGGAGGACGCGTCGTCCGCCCCCCAGACCGCCCTCTTCCCTCCGGCAGGGCCGTCCCAGGGCTTCCTGACCCGAGTCAACACTGCAGCAACCTCGCTTCCTCCGCCTGACTTCCGAGGGTGGCGCTCCAGCTCTCTCTGGGTCTGTGCCCCGGCGCTGGCCAGGCTGGGGCTACTCTGGGCATCCACGTCCTCGACACTTCCCGCCTTGAGGGGTTGATTCTGTCGGCTTCTTCACTCTGTCAGCGTTCACTCCAGGGCAGCTGCCCGCTGCGATGTGGGGGAGGCTCCAGACGGCGGACACAGGCTGTCTGAACCCCCACATCACGGGCCCGGGCGCGGGCTTGATGACTGAAGCCTCCTGGTCGCCCCCGGGGCGGGCTGCCGGCCAGTGCTGACCAATGGCCTCCCAGCAGCACCAGCAACAGTGACGCCGACTCGTTCTCAGAGGCTCCCGCTCCCTGGCCCCAGGCCCTGGAGACCCGCCCGGGGCCCAGCACCACGCAGCGGGTGCCGAAGGGGGAGCGCCCCTCCCCGCAAGCTTCTGGACACAGGCCCATCGCCACCCTCCCAGGCGCACCGGAACAACTTCCCACATTGCCGGGCCTTGTCCCTAAGCCGGGGGAACCGTCTAGAATAAGATCTTCTGTCGGCTCCTCATTCGTAGCGGAACGCCACGCCCCCCCAAGCCGTCTGGGAGCTCCCCCGCTTCTTCTCGGCTGCCCGTCCCTGGGTGCCAGGCACCAGTACGAGTGCAGCTCCTCCCGGCCGGGTGGCAGAATGTTTTGACAAGGGGGGAGGGGTGTCGACGCTGCTCGCCACCACCATTTTGGGGAGCATTCGTCACATTTACCGACACATCTGTTAGTGACAGATGGAGAAGCAGTTCTGTGAAACGAGTCCAGTTCACGAGCGCCCCAAGGATGGTCTATTCATAGTAAGCTGAGTCTGGACAGGCCTGGGGGGCGGCGCGGGGCTGGGCCAGGGGCTGTGCCTGCTCCTGGTGACACGCAGCGGAGCTGGGCGCACTCAGCCCTCAGAGCTGTGGCCGCGCCTCGTGCCCGGCAGTCCTAGCGAACATGGCCTACAACTGGCCGGCCCCGGGAGAGGACCGGCAGGGCCCGTGAACTCGGAACAAGGGCCCCGGACGCCTCTGTTGGGGGCAAGCACAGCCCTGCTCCTCTGTCTCGGACTCTCAGCTCCTCGCCCCAGTGTGGGGACAGACCAGCCCACCCGCCAGAGCCCACGGCCTCCTCCAAGCAGCTGCGGCAAGGCCTGGCTCTCCCCACCCCAAGGCACTCCTGCTGTAGAGGCCTGCCCAACATGCTCACATCCCACAACGCATCTGTATCTAAAACGGTCACACTGAGCACCTGGAACAAATCACAGGGCACAACCACGCAGGCCACAGACCACACACGTCCACGGACGCACTGCAACAGGACTCAAACATAAAGGCTTCCAGTCGACCCTAAACCTAGCAACGTCCGGACTCCCCGGCCCCCAGCGTCTCGAACCCTCCCGGCCTCTCCGAGGTGCCGGGCAGACTCACCATGCTCGTCCAGCAGGATGTTGTCCGGCTTGATGTCTCTGTAAGAGAAGACAAGGAGCTGAAAACGTGACGTCCGGAGCAGGGACACGCAGCCCGGCGGGGCCAGGCCAGGCCAGCCTGGCTCTCCCGAGCCCTGGTCAGGAGCTGAGCCGGGACCTCCCTCCTTCCCGGAGCTGCGACGATGCGGTTTTCATCCTGAGTGGTGGAAGTCCTGCCACAGCCTCTCAGCAGGAGCTGCCTGCCGTGGGTGTGCACACCCGTCCTCCTTCCTGTAAACTGGGCCCTCGGCTGGCCCAGAAGCCCCCAGGCGTACAGGTGAGCAAGCCCAGTCTGGGAAGGCTCAGGGCTGGCGGGGGTCAGAGCGCAGCCAACCCCAGTTTCAGCAGGTTGTGTGTCTGTGAGTTTAGACTTTCTGACTTTTGGTTAGAAAAACCAAGCAAGATGCATAGGTACAAACAAGCAAAAACTACAAAGAATGCCCCAGGGTGTGCATCCCCTAGCACTTTACAGGGCAAGCTTGCTGCTCCCCTTTTAGGTCAACAGTGAACTATGTGCAGTAGAACATGAGCTGAGGGTTTCTAGAAAGTTCTGCACTATGGCACCATTGCAGCAAATGTTCCCAACTCCAAGCCATGCTTCTTCTTCTTCGTTTATATAATAATTCATTTTTACCTCATTGGGTACATTTTTTTTTTTTCATCTTAATTGTAATCCCAGTGGGCTTCCCATCACCAAGTCACCCTGTGCCGTCACCACAGTCCAGAGCACTTCCCTCCCCCACTGTATTTGACCCCATTCCCCGCCCGGCCCCATAAGAAGTCTCTGGTTGTAGCTGCTCACTGTTATTATTATTTTCTTGCCTGCTCCATTATACTCCTGCTATGAGTGAAGCCATCCGGGATTTTTTCTTTTCTCTCTGGTTTATCGCACTAAGCATGATCCCTTCCAGCTCCATCCATGTTGCTGCAAAAGACATGTGTTTCTTTTTTTTTTTTGGTTGCTGAGTAATATTCCATTGTATGTATGTGCCACATCTTTTTAATCCAGTCACCCACTTTTGGGCATTCGGGCTGCTTCCATGTTTTTCCAATTGTAAAAAAGCAGCAATAAACATGGGGGTGCAGGTGTCTTTTTGAATCAGTGTTTTGTGTCTTTTGGATAGATCCCTAGGAGTGAGGTTGCTGGGTCATAGGGAAGCTCCATGTCAGGCAGTTTGAGGAACCTCCAAGCAGTTTTCCACAGTGGTTGTACCAGTTTCCCACCAGCAGTACAGGAGAGTTCCTTTTCCTCCAAGCTGTGCTTCTTAAAGGCGGGGCCTTCCTGCTTCACTCCACAGCCCCACCTTGCACGGCATGGCACGGGGGCACCATCAAAGGGAGGCCAGAGCTGGACGAGGACAGCAGTTGCTGTGGTGAGAACGGTCAGCTCAGGACCGTTCCAAGAGGACAGGAGGCCTCGGTGCTGCACCCCACAGGGACGAGAAGCAGGTGGAGAAGCACTCAGGGCTGTGGCGCCCTGGCTTCACGGACTAAGGCGGCCAGGGCCTCGGACACTGCGGGGTCGGGGCACAGCAGCTGCCGAGCTATTCAGGGTGGGGGCTCCGCAGGTTCACCCCGCAGCCCGTACAGGGGCTGCTGCCGGGAGTCGGCCGCTGTCGGCCCGGAATACAGACCTATCTGTGGCGAGCCAGCCCGCACCTGTGCAGGGCGTGCCCGACACAGGCAGAGACTCAGCCCCGCGCTGCCTTCCTCCAGCACCAGCGGATCTCTAGGAAAACGCGGACCCGGCCGCTCCTGGGCCACAAACAGTGACAGCCTTGGTGCCCTGCCGCGCAGTCCCACCTATGCAAACTCAAGTCGGCGTCGGCTTGCTGGAGCAGCTCTCAGAGCGAGCTGCCAGGCTGCCTCCTGGGCTTGAACCCCCACTTTGATCTGTCTGGCTACCGTGGAGGCTTTATTCCCAGCGAGCATGTCAAATTGGCTCGCTCATGCTAAACTGGACAATCAGAGACTAACACAGAAGCCCAGAAGGGGGCCCCAGACGCAAGACTTGGGGGCCGAGGGCCCTGCGTGGAGTTTGCTCAAGGAGAATCATCTCAACCCCGGAAAGCAGGGCTGAGGGGCGAGACGGGTGGAAGGTCAAAGGTGGACGCGTCGGCTTCGTGGACGAACTCAGGGCAGCTGCAGCCCCAGCCTCTTTCTCGTGAACGCGCAGCCCTACAGCTCCGTGACAGCCACAGGTTTCAGGGGCGCGCGCCCTCCTGGCACAGACATGGCGAGCGTCGCGTACCCTGAGGCTGACAGTCGCTTGCAGGAAACAAGTCGACTGCTCCCAAGCTCATCAAGACGGTTCTGGAGCCGGCACGGGGTCGCTGTGGCGCTGGGGTGTGGCAGCCTATACACTTCCATCATTTTCATCGTGACTTCTCACTCCTGCGCCCCTCGGCGACGCCAAGCACACCAGCCCACCCCCATGTCCACGCAGCAGCCACGTGAACCATCGGTGGAGGCCACGGGCGGATGAGGAGAGACTTGTGACGTCAACACCAGAAAGCAGGAGACCAGAACCAAGAATTTGTGGGTTGAGTCGGCAAACACCCCAGGCCCCCACTCAGGGCACCTCCTGCAGGATTTCTCGAGGAGGGTGAGGAAAGGGGCAACGAGCACCGGCCAGGGACTGGCATGGTCCAGGCTGAAGTGCTCCGAGGGTGACCCTGGGGCTGGGGGGCCTTGGGGAGGGGTCAGGAGGTGGAGGCTGTGGCTCAGGGCGCACGGACCCCAAATGCCTGTGGCCTGAGGCTGCCACCCCAAGGGCATCCTGCTTCCCCCGAACCCCTCTCTCTCCCCCATTCCCTCCTCCTCCCTCGCCACTGCTGTCCTTCTCCAAAGCCACCTCGGGCAAGCCCGGGGTGCTTCAGGACCTCACTACTGAGTCACACGCTGAAAAAGTGGAGACGGAAAGCGTCGAGCCGTGCAGTTAGGGGAGGTCACCAGCTCCGCTGCGCCTCCCGCCGCAAGCTCCCTGCTCCGCGCGGCCGTCAGAGCCTGCCTCCGCCTCCCTCCGCAGCCGGGTCCTGTGCTCTCCTCCAGGCCCGGCAGCTGCAGGGCCAGCCCCTCCGCTGCCCGGGCTGCTTCGAGCTCACTGGCACCCCTGCGGCACGGGGCCCCCAGCCACGCCGCCCCCACCCAAGGCCTTCCCTCCCGGAGGACCTGGGGTCCTGGCCTCGTCTGGCCGCAGTTCCTGTGCAGGTCTGGTCTCCCCGACTCCCTGGTGAGCTGGCGTGGCTCCGCCCCCTCAGCCACCCAGGAGGGGGCCGTGGACCCGGCACCTCGCCGTGGGCATCCGACCGACGGCCAGCAGGTGTTCCTGACGTCTCTGCCCCGGCTGGGTTTGACCGAGCCGCAGGGCGGCTGTGCCCAGAGCTGCTCTGGCTTCCCGCCTGGCCGCGCCTCTGCGCACCCCGGTGGCGGGAGCCCCCCGCCCGCCCCCCGCGCCTGCTCCTCCTCGCACGGAGCCGCCAGCGCGGTGAGCGGCAAGGAGCCAGGTGCCCGCGATCGGCAGCAGAGCTCAAACCGTGCCGCTCGCTTGCCGCAAACCTGGCAAGAGCTTTCTACTCTCGGGGTGCAAACTGGAGCCCATAAATCCCGGTCCCCTCTGTCTCACCCTCCCTCCCGCCTCGGCTGCTCTCCTGCTGTTCCCGGGCCCACGCCGTCTCAGGCCGGCTGGAGGTTTGCCGCGGCTACTTCCCGGAAAGCAGCAGCGAGCAAGGCCTGCGGGGTGTCCCTGAGGTGCTGCAGCCCCTGACGGCTCTGACCACTGTCTGGGCACTGCGTGAACATACAGGCCAGTGTGTGTGCGCACAGGATCCGTGGGTCCTGATGCACCGTGTGTGTGCGCGTGTGTATGGTGTGTGAGTATGTGTGTGTGTGAGTGTGAGTGTGTGCATGGCGTGTGTATGTTGTGTGTGCGTGCGTGTGAGAGTGTGTGTATGGCGTGTGTGTGGTGTGTGTGAGTGGGTGTGTGAGTGTGAGTGTGTGTGTGGTGTGTGCATGGTGTGTGTGAGTGTGTGTGTGTGAGTGTGGTGTGTTGTGAGTGTGTGTGGTGTGTGTGCTGGCGTGTGAGTGTGTGTGCATGGTGTGAGTGTGGTGTGTTGTGAGTGTGTGTATGCTGTGTGAGTGTGTGGTGTGTTATGTGAGCGTGTATATGGTGTGTTGTGAGTGTGTATGGTGTGTGTGGTGTGTGTGGCGTGTGTGTGGTGTGTGCATGGTGTGTGTGTGGTGTGTGTGTGGCGTGTGTATGGTGTGTGTGCGTGCATGTGAGTGCGTGTGGCATGTGTATGGTGTGTGTGCGTGCATGTAAGTGTGTGTGGTGTGTGCGTGGTGTGTGCGTGGTGTGTGTGTGTGGTGTGTGCGCGTGCGTGTGAGTGTGTGTGTGGTGTGTGCATGGTGTGTGAGTGTGAGTGTGTGTATGGTGTGTGTGTGGCGTGTGTGTGTGTGCATGTGTGGCTTGTGTAGGGTGTGTGCATGGTGTGTGTATGGTGTGTGTGTGGTGTGTGTGCGTGCGTGTGAGTGTGTGTGGTGTGTGCATGGTGTGTGTGAGTGTGTGTATGGTGTGTGTGTGGCGTGTG